TGCATTATGAGTACCCGATAAATGGAATTTCAAACCTAGTCCCCACTATTGCACAAATCTCATAATTCATAATCACTACTATTGATTACTTTAACTCTTCATTCAAAACAAAGGCTTTACCACAGAACCTTTTGATACATATTCCATATTCTTTGCTTTAAGCCAAGATACAAATAAAAAATCCCACAAGTGTAATTAAAGATCTTAAACCTTTTCACTTCATAAAGGCTCAATTCAAGAGGAAAGAGTTTAGCATGTGTCTCATATAACTAGTCTTAATTATGTGAGTGTGTTCACATAACTAAAGTAAAGTGTCTTACTTTAAAAGGTCTTTGGTAAAAGGAGGTAGAGAGCCATCGAGAGACACTAACTTCAAACCAAAGGGTATTGCTTTAGTTATATGAGCACTCTTACACAATTAACACTAGTAGAATACAATACACTCAGGAACACAGTTTTCTTCAGTTTTGTCAACTCAATTTCAGTAGAATACAACAGATTAGGAACTTTCCCCAAAGCGCTTTATCTAGATGCAATGAAACAGAACAATCTGTTAACCCTTGCACTTGACTCTTGATGAATTAAAAGTACATGATTTCTTCACAGTCAGATCAGTTAGTTAAGTGAAAGAGGATTTTATGTCACCTCTATTCAGCGCAACTGTAGACCTGGGGCCTGAAGGTCCTTAGAAGAGCATCTTTATCAGTGGCATATCTCCAGTGCAGCTGGACTAATGGGAATCAGACCAGAAGGTGATACAAGTGCATCAACAAGAACATCATTTGGAGTTAGTGGTATAGTGCCCTCATCCAATATCTGCACTGAGTAAGAAAGCGCAACTGCAATTCAAAGAAAAAGCTAAAATCATCTGTTGTGAAAAAATCAGAACTATCACATGCATTCCTAGAAATAAGCAACGAAGAAACATACTCTTGAGAGGTTGCTTCCAATTTCGCTCCTTTGTACGTTCCTGATATCTTGTCAAGAAGGTATCATAATAACTGTTTCACAAGCCATAGGAAGAAAGGATCACCAACAACAAGAGGATATTAGGATTATAGAAGAGGGAGAAACTTATAACGACTCTTCTCTTATTTTCTTTTTCCTTTTCTTTTTCATAGGTGCACTTCTCAGTTAAACCTATCACTTCTGAAGAGGATGAAATAAAGAGTCAAAGATATAAAGCCCTACCCTCCACCACGGCCCAACCGCCTTCCAGCTTTGTCAAAAGCAAGTCCTTCAAAAAAAGAGAGCGCAGAAATCAAAATGCAACTCCAAAATTATCTGGTTTCAAGTTTTGAATCCGAGAAGTTTGACGATGAAAAGTTAGGAAGTACTTACCAGGTAAAATTAACAAATCAACAGGCTCATCCGCCAACAAGACTGCAACATGAAAATTTCTTCAATTACTAGCATTAAATCCATAGTCCTATTTCACTTTTAGAACCAACGAAACCAAACTGGACAAAAATAAGAAGTACATGACAAACAAGATTTGCAGAATAAGAGATGTAAATCCAAACGATAGCCCAGTCCATAACTGAGTCTTTTCGATGAAGGCCTCAAGCAACAACTCGCACTTCTCTTAAAAATCAATAAAAGGCATAGCAGAAAAGTAGTCTCAAAATTGAAAAAGGCATAAGGTCATCCTTAAGTCAAGAACTCAAAAAGCTATTATTGCTCTCCTCCATTTGTAAAACATATAATCTTTTAGGCCTTCCACCATCTAAAGCAGGCAAAATTTCAAAAGATTGAAAGGGCCAAATGATAGAAAAGCTATGATGCTTTCACTTTTATTCTCCTGTTTGTATCTTGCATGTTTCAGACGAGTGCTCCATGGCACTAGCACAAAACCATATTACATAGATATTTAACATTGATGATTATGATATCCTACAACAACCATAACTTTTCAAGAGAAAACTTTCAATACTGAGAATTCGCGGGCAAAACAGATTCCTTTACATACTTACTAGTTTGATTAAAAGGAATGGGCATAATATCCAAAGGAATCGCCTAACTGTTATCAGAAACAAAGAAATTGGAGAGGTTAACGGTCATGAAATGTAAAGTTAATCTCTAGAACCTTTCACCACACTATGACAGAATCTACAAAATACAAAATAAGTTTTCAGTGCGGTGAGGGTTAGAGTGCTGGAAGTATCAATTTATTCAAGATGTGAACTTTAGGAAAGTTATGATCACATACATCAAGGATTTCCCAAATACAGTTATTACCAAAAAGAGTGCTAGCATGATTTGAACTTCCACATTAGAGTATCACTTGAATACCAAATGCTACCAAATAAAAGAAATTTTCCATTTGGAGACAAGAAGTATATATACCATCTTCCCTATCATTTCCTTCAGCATCTATTGGAGCTGGCTCCAAGATGTTCATTGAATTTGCAATCATGTCCTCAATGCTTGAGATGTGTAGCATTCGCATGTTTCTGTTCTTGTCTTCGACACGTGGAACATAAAGCTTTTTCCTCATTTGCAAATCCGATTCTGATTTGATAATGACATAAGAAGTCAACATTAAGCTCTATAAGAATTGAACCACTAAAGAGATACAGTAAAGAAAAAGAGAACCACCATGAGAAAAGTCCTTGTACCTTACATTTGGTAGTAGTAAATTAGAATGGACATTTTGAATAGTGGCATTAACAGCCATATAGCTATACTCTGTAGATTACGGTACGTATCTTAAGGTTTGCCTAGTATTTCATCAGAATCAGGATATAAGCTAGTGGATGTGAACTACCACTATACTCACTACCTTTTTGTGGCGATGCTCAACAACAATAACCACCCAGTGAGATCCCACATGTGGGGTCTGGGGAGGGTAGTGTGTACGCAGACTATACTCACAACCTTTTTGTGGCGACGCTCACAGATATATATTGTTCAATATCATCTGATTATATATGCATAAGTCGAGCTGAGAGACCGGTGCTTCTGAGATACTGTCATTACATTGCATCTGCCACATGAGTAGTCAGAAAACATGACAACAGAAATCTACTCATATAGCTTCTTTTTTTCTTGGAGAAAGAACTCCACTTATTTAGCTTGTACGATTGAAACAAATGAACAAACCCAAGATGAGAAAGTGAACAAAGGTGGTGGATGAGCCTCATGACTATCATAAACAGTAGATTGAATCAGAAACTTCCGCATCCTCTCCCCACCCCAAACCCCAATATTTTGCTGACTCTCTAATGCTTACAACAACAACAGCTACTACTACACCTCAATTCGGATTGGCAATAGAATGCCTCACCATGCACAGATAAACTCAAGTGTGAAGATTGAACTTTTTGCTGTGATTGTGTGCGGTGAAGTTTGCCTCTGAGATACAAACCTGTTGATGGCTTCTGGAGAATGTGAGACAGTAGTTGGGATGTATCAACTTCCCGCAAAGCACTACAACTTATGTAAGCGCACAATCTCTTAGAAGCCTTAAACCACGGAGCCTCCAACACAATCCTTTGTATTGCTTCATCTGATGAGCCACATAGAGGTCCAACAGTAAATATCATAAAAGAAAAAAAGAAAAAACTCATTTGATTATGTGTTTTGGTTGTACCTTGTTGGGATCTAAGGGAAGGATCCAGGGACTTGAGATCTCTCTTAACTAAGGAGCGAAGGGCCTTTTTCTGCTTGAAGATGGTGTCCAGATGGGCTGCGCCGTCGGCACTCAGGTTTTGTTCTTCGGCAGTGCTCATGGTGATTACGGCGGAACACGGTGTGGTTGGGTGGCGCAGAATGCGGGTATAGCAGCGGTACTTGGTACTTCAATTAGCTGACGTGGCAACTGTCAGGGATTGACCTGCTCACTATTCAGATTTCAGGGTCCACCGTCGTGCTTGCACATATATATATATATACTAGTATTTCTGCACGTCTTTTCCATCTTTAACAGGGGAATCCATTAGTAAGAAAAAAGTGTCATAAGACTTTTTAATTTTTAAAGAGGATAATAATGGTGGCAACTTTTCTTCAGAAAAATGTGTTAATGTTTGGTGTCTATTCGTGGCGTCTGTTGTTGTAGGAGACTTTGCCGAAGTGACGCACGTTTTAGGTTCTTATATTTAAGTTAATTAAAAGGATACTTTAATAAATAATAAAGGAGTAATTTAGTAATTTAACTTTTAGATTATGATGTTCCTGCTTTTAATATATTGTAGCTTATACATAGATAAATTGTAGATGTAGATAGATTATATATGTAGATGTAGATTGTAGATAGATGTAGATAATATATTATAGATAGATGTAGATGTAGAATGTAGATATATGTGTGCTCTTGTCACATTTGGACGTGCCCTGTCCGACGAGTATCGGAACGTTGAGTTGGTGGAAAATACCTACTCCCTCCCACTCATTTCATGCCTAAATAAAGATAATGCTAAGATTAAAAAGTTTGCAAAAAAAATAAAAATAAATATGTCATTTTTTTAAAAAAATTTGAAGTGTGTCACAAATATTTCTATAAATATTTGTATCAAATTAAATAATTGAACTTTTAACTATTTTAAAGTGAGAACATATAACTTATGAGTAAACGATAAAAACCTATTTACAAGTTACATCTCTTGCATTCATTTGTTTGGTACGAGTATTAGTATTTTTGTTTTACTCAATTGACTCCTCCAGCTTCCTTTTTAATTTTACCTCTTTTTAATTGGTTCTATTCGATAAGGGTAATTCAAATGATAGGAGTAATAGATTATTATAAGTAGAAAAATAATCAGGTAAGAGTAAATGAAAAGATAATAGATTATTTTCTACTACTAATTAAGTCTTTTAGATTTTTGGAATCAAAGAACACATGGCGCATTGTTTGAAGAGAATCACATCACAATGGATGACCGTTAATTCAGGTAAATGAAGCGCCAAGTACTCTCGTATTTGTGAAACAAAAAAAAAGAGTGACCATTGACTACATATAACTGAAAATGAAGAGCACCATCCAATATTTTGGACACTTTTGAACTAGGCAAAATATCATAATTCCTCCATAATCAAAGAAAGATACATTCAGGAGAGAGAAAGAGGTCATGATCCTGGTTTCACTTTTCCTACCATGGTCATGATCCTTTTCATTTCTTCCCTTCCACTTTGATCCCACCATTTCTTCATCTTTTGTGCTCAACAAACAACCCACCAATCTGAATTTTCCTTTTCTTTCTTGAATTTTTTTAAAACAAGTTTAGAAAAAGGGAAATGGCTTCAGGATCTTTCAAGTGTTATGTTGAACAAAAGACAGGGAAATTTGCATTCTTCTTCATATATGCTGTTCTTGAATGGGTGATGATCATTCTGCTTTTCATTGAGGGGTTTCTTGCTTTTTTCTCTAATGAATTCGCCAAGTTCTTCGACCTGAAAGTCCCCTGCTTACTTTGCACGAGGATCGATCACATTCTCGTTCACAGGAATGCCAACTTTTATTACAATGAATCCATTTGTGAAGTCCACAAGAAGGACATTTCTTCCCTTGCTTATTGTCATGTCCACAAGAAGCTGTCTGATATTAGGAACATGTGCGACGGCTGCCTTCTGTCATTTGCAACAGAGAAAGATGCTGATTGCGATAGGTACAAGTCACTAGTTGGTATTTTGCACAAGGATATTGATTGCTTTGTGGAGGATGACAAGAAAGTAGATACAAAATCAGGAAAGAAGGAAGATGAGGTCATCCAAATTGAAAAGGGCGGAATCGTTGGGTGTTCTTGCTGTGGGGAGATTCTAAAGACAAAGTCAAAATATTCCAGGAATGCATCAATGAAGGGAAATCCTTATTCTCAAGCTCCTGCTCCATCTCCAAGATCTCCCTTGACGACATGGAGAAATGAGGAAGCCCGCCATTTAGAATTGCCTCATACTCAATACACAGAGGTTAAGTTCATCTCAGATAATGATTTGGACCTTCCTGCTGATGAGGGTCTCCCTAGTGGAGGTATGTGCTCGCCCTAGCAATTTCTTTCCCGTCGTGTTTCTTCTTGTTGTTGTACTTGATTTTGCAACTGTTACGATATATGAATCATAACAATTCATAACTTTATTCATCAATAGGATATATGATGGGAAGAGTCATATAGATGCTTTTGTTTATCTAGAAATGCTAGCTTTCTTTTTCAGTAGATATTTGTATGAAATCAGTAAACAATGTTAGCAGGGGAATAGTAGGTTAGAATTTGAGCTTTAGAAAGCTTTTTCTGCAGCAAGAAATGATTCAGCATCAACAGAAATATCTGCACAGTCCATTCTAATATCACCAACTCTTTTCTATTGTCCAAACTACACTTTTAATTCCTCAAGTTATAAATGCTGTATATTTTTATTTTCCTAACTACACTTAAGAGTAAGAATATTTTGTTCTTTCCTTCATACAGGTAGAGAGGATATTAAAGCTGCTACTGTACCACTAATACCAGATTCGGAGGAGATAAATGATGATGCCTTGAAAACGCCAAATTTTACAAGAAACAAATTTTTTGGTATCCCATTGTCAGACTCAGCTCATGCTAGCCCTAGGTGGTCACACAGGCCTAGAAAATTGAGTATGGATATTAAGAGTGAATTCATTTCAGAAACTAATGACGCGAGTACAGTAAATGAATCTGACGATGACATCCTGCATCGCTTGAAGAGACAAGTTCGTTTGGACCACAAGTCCCTCATGGCACTTTACATGGAACTTGACGAAGAAAGAAGTGCCGCTGCTGTTGCAGCAAACAATGCCATGGCCATGATCACTCGCTTACAAGCAGAGAAAGCCGCTGTCCAAATGGAGGCATTGCAGTACCAAAGAATGATGGAAGAGCAGGCGGAATATGATCAAGAGGCGATGCAGGTCATGAAAGACATGCTTTTGAAGAGAGAAGAAGAGATAAAGGTCTTAGAAGCTGAACTTGAGACATATAGGGAAAGATATGGCCATATCAAGAAAGTAGGTAGTGAGGTCTGTGAGGTTGATGCAGATGAAGATTATCAAGAGTGGAATTCTCATTCTTTGTCATCCGTTAGTGAAAGATCAGCGTGTGTCAGTCCTGATGAAGGAGATCAACATGGAGTAAATGACTGCTCTTTTGAATCTGGTGAATATGGAGGGGAAAATGTGGATGAATCACATATTGATTTTGAGAAGGAGAGATCGTATCTCATGGGTTTGTTGACAAATCTTGAAGAGAAAATTAAAACATCTAAGGATGAAGGATTTCATGTTTTAGAAACAAACGAGGTTAAGCATGGATCCGGAGGAAAAGGTAAATGAATCTTGTTTATTTTCTTACCTCCTTTTTCTATCCTTTTTGTCCAAGTGCAGATACTTTTTTTTTCGTGCTGTTAGGAAATGAAAATAAGGTAACTCTTACAAGAGAAGTGTCACTAATTAGAGAGAGATTGAGAGCCATTGAAGCAGAGAGCGGCTTCTTAAAACATGCAGCTATGACATTACAGAGGGATGGTGAAGGAACCAAACTCTTGACTGAGATAGCTGAACATCTGCGGAGACTTAGGCAATCAATTGATTCCCCATCAAAGGATGCAAATGCATGACTTCTGTTCAAACATGGTAATTTCTGCGCTGTGATTCTTTTTATCTGGTTGTTCACTCAATTAAATCGCTAACTGCAGCAGCAATATAATTTTGTTGTTCTCTTTCCCATTGTACTTCCTTTTAGGATGTACATAGCTGGAAGGACCCTTGAAATTCCAAGCTTTGACAATTCATGGAGCTCTCGTCTTATCACCTTGAGAAATTCTGGTAATTTTTATCTTCCATGCTTGAATTATTTGGATATTAATTTACTGACTCTACCTGGAATGTTAATCCAAAATTCAGAGTATATAATTAAATTCCATCAGTAAATGTGCAAAATTTTCTTGAGAATATCAGCTTATCTAAGACTAGCAAATAATATGGTTTTATAAGCAAACAATTGATTTCCAAGCGTATAATCAAACAAAACGATCATCTCTTTTCGTTTAAGATTTCTAACACACAATTAATCATTTGCTTTCGCAGATGAGATAGACAAGGAACCAGAATACTTTGGCAATCCACCAAGCTTTCGCACAATCAACTCACAGAAGGAAATGCAAAGAACTCATTGTATTTAATATATATATATATATATATGCATGTACTCATGTCTGTACCATATCCACTTAGATCTTTCCCCCTCCCAATTGATGTTCATTTTTGAGAAGTTGCTTCATGAGAGAATGTACATTAATATTTATCTCAGCTCACCTTCACTCCCAGGAGATCAATGTGATTGAAACTCTTGATCTTACTTCTTGAAAAGTGAGGGTGTCTCATTGAGATCCTTCTACGGGAGAATGCAAAAAAAAATTGTTTATACCCTATTTGTACAGTATTTTTGTTTGGACTATGTAGCTAAGCCCTTGCTCTCCATCCTTGAACCTTAATTTGGCTCTTAAATCCTCAATCTATCTCTTCCTTTTCTTCTTTCTGTGTTTATGGTGGGTAAGGTGGGATATATATATATATATATATATATATACACTCACCCACCATAAATACAGAAAGATGAAAAGGAAGAGACCTATACATTGAGGATTTAAGAGCCAAATTAAGGTTTAAGGATGTGTGTGTGTATAAATCATAAAAGTTCTTTACAACTTGAAACTCAGACTCATGTCAAGGCCTTCTAAGAACAGCTATTTATCCTTAAGCTACTGAGCCAAAACCAAGCTTCCCATAATCTCAAAGGCTTCCACCAGAGAATGCTTCAGCAGCCAACACAAACTATCAAGTAGTTTGATCCACACTCCAACAAGATAAACAAGTGGTAGAGCAGAGAGTGCTAGGGGGGGTGGGGTGGGGGAGCAAAAGTTCCAAACGAACAAAACCTGTCCATTTGGTTAATTTGCTAGTATAACAGCACTTCTGACCGTTGATCGATCTTAAGGTTATTACCTATGCTGAGTTGGACAAAGTTGGTAAAATACCATCCAAAATCTAAATTAAAAGCCATCACAATCTAAATTATAGTAGGTAAAATACCTTCCAAAATCAATTTTTTTTTAAAAAAAAAAAATAAAGAAGAAAAATGAGATATCTTTTGGGCAAGGGGGTGGCACAAACTCGTGGTTTTGGTCAAAGCAAATTCAATGTATCTATATGGCATTGTCTATGATGAAGTCTTAGTAACCGGCATAGTAATTCTCCCTTTCACTGTTACAAGCCAGTTAATAGGAGAGGGTATACTTGTCTTTGCATATAAATAAGGTCCTAGTAGTCATTGGCTGATAAGAATTAGTTAATGTGAACTGACTGATTATTTGAGTTGTTAGCTGGGCAATTAGAATGAGGTTAGAGGATTAATGGATATAAAAGGGGATATTATTGTAATAGGGGATACATTGTAATTTGATAGTGAAATTGATTTCCTCCACGTCTATCTCTGTTACCGGCCAGTCCACCGTAAATCTGTTCAGGGACCATTCATGCTCTTGGCCCCTTAGGATTTTCTATCTTTTTTGTTTGAATTGTACTAATGGTATTAGAGTCAGGTTCTCGGACAGTAATGACTACCATGGAAGATGATATTTGCTCGGAAGATGATAGCTTCTATGAAGAACTCACATAAGACATTGACGACATGAAGAGATCCATGATTGACATAGCTCTGGAGCATGTCGAGAGCTTGGATGAGATTAAAAGTATGTTGGGATCCTACCTAACAGGAACAAGACCGCATGTCGGCGGTGAAGTTTCAAGTACTAGCAGCAAGTTGAATTCACAGCAAGGTCCAGAAACTCTACTCGCTAAAAGCCACAAAATAAAGCCTGATGTTCAGCAGAATCATACTCTTCAAAAGGTATATGAATTTGATATACAATCATCTGCAACTATAGGAGATGGGCAAGAAGAAAAACTTGAGATTAATGGGGAACTTCAAAATGATGAAGAAGACAAGAAGGTCTTAGAGATGAATGAGAAAAAGGTTTCATCACATGACTAGGAGGTTGTATAAGGGTGAAATCGAGGCTAACACACACCCCAATTTTTTGGTGGGTCAAACGAAGCAAGGATATGACTACATTAGATCGAAATCGAAGATGGGAACTTCTCACACTAGGGCCTGAACGAAATGCACGCATCGGGCTTGATAAGACAACACCTCCCTAAACCTAGAACTAGCTCCGAGACCTCGAAGAACATGGTAGCGGTTGCACACAATTAACAGAGGGTCACGATATATGCGCCCCACCGGATATCACGGTGCATATCTTGCCTGACATCAATAACAAATCAATAATTTATAAGAAAGGAGGATTTTTACCTTTTTTAGAATTGTACTAGGGATGAAACTCTCCTACTATATAAAGAGGAAGCTTTTATCTCATTAGAATGCACTATAACACGCATACCAAAGCAATACAAAATTATTTCTCTGCTACAGAAAAATCTTTACTTTACTTTTGTTCTTTGTTCTTGATTGGCTTTGAACCTAAGACCCAACCGAGGGTAGAAACTATCGCCCAATCCAAGTTCAAGCTCGGCCATAACGTTACGACTGGTTTGATTATTCAGTTTGTCTTTAACTCATTCATCTAACATTTTGATTATTTGTATTGAATCAATCCACATATCTTTAAAACTGCGTATAAATTTAATTGTTATCTATTTTAAGGATAAACAGTTTGGTGCCCACTGTTGGGCTAAGGATAATAGTGGTGGTTTAATACAAATTTCCATAACACACTCCCTTTTTATGCTTGTTCTTCAAGGTTTCAATTTTAGGTCAGCTTAAAAATGGCAAATTCTCAGCCTGCCCACTTGAACGTCGAGGCTGAGAAATGAGGTGCCCCTTGCTGACCCCCATGGAATCCCAACTGTCGATCAAATAGACGCAAATTCACAGGTTGCTATTGACGCCCACCTGCCTATTGACCCCAAAAACAGCATTCACAAGGCCCACGAGCAACTGTTCGAGAAATTCCCCTAAGGTGAAGGCGATGGGATAAGCCTGCAGCTAATCTTCGAAATGTTGTAGGCTCAACAGGCGACGATAGCACAACTATAGAATCAGGGCCACCCTCCCATTAGGGGTCGAGCCCAAGTGGTCCTGAATACCCAAAGAAACGAGCAAACCACCGAGAGGTTGGATGAAGCTGAGCCTGGGTCCAACCCCGAGATAATGAAAATGCTCGAAGCATTGACGAAGCAGGTGGAATCAGGTGAGAAGAAAATTGAGGCCAATGAAATAAAGGTAGAGACATATAACTCCAGGGTCGATCAAATCTCAAGAGAACCCTTATATTAAGGACCGGATTTCAAGAAGTTTATCCAAAAGCCTTTCCCTCCGAGCGCCACACTGAAGCTGATCCCGAAGAGATTTCGTAAGCCAGATATTCCAAAGAACAACGGAACCACTAATTCAAATGGGCATGTGACCTCCTATGCATGTGCCATCAAGGGGAATGACTTGGAAGATGATGAAATCGAGTCAGTGCTGCTAAAGAAGTTCGGGGAAACTCTATCAAAAGGAGCAATGATATGGTATCATAACTTACCCCCAAATTCTATTGATTTTTTTGCTATGCTTGCAAATGCCTTTGTGAAGGCTCATGTCGGGGCCATCAATGTCGAGACCAGGAAATTGGACCTTTTTAAGGTTAAGCAAATAGACAATGAGATACTTAGGGAATTCATATCAAGATTTCAAATGGAATGGATGGATCTGTCTCCGGTTGCGGATGATTTGGCTGTTCAGGCGTTCACTCATAGACTTAATCCCCGAAGTTCCTTGGCTTCGCAGCAACTAAAATAAAATTTAGCAGAATACCCGGTGGTAACTTAGGCCGACGTCCACAACAGGCACCAGTTGAAAATCAAAGTCAAGGCTGACCAACTCGGAGCCCCCTCTAGGTCTGTTTATCCCGTTAGAACCGATGATAAGTCTAAGAGAGTCGTCGATCATGAACCAATATCGACCCAATACCGGTATCAACCATACAACGGAGATCGAAGGGGTAACGGGTTCGAGTATCACCCTACGAGGAACAAAAAGAGAAGCAATCGAGGGCCCAATAGCAGAAATCTGATGAGCAAAAGCAATTTCAATAGGCTGCTCGGGGCTAGGGAGGCACCAAGATTTTCGTAATATAACTTCAATATTGATGCTTCCAGTATCGTGCAGCCATTGGGCGCATCAAGGACACCAAGTGATCTCGACCATTGCAGTCGAACCCTGCCCAAAGAGATACTAACTTGATGTGCAAATATCATGGCACTCATGGACACATGATCGAGGAATGCTGGCAATCAAGGGAAGAAGTTTTCGGGTTGTTTAATAATGGCACCTACGAGAATTCCTGAGTGATCGAGTAAAATACCACTTCAGAAATAGGGACGCCATCAAACAGAGTGAACAAGAGGAATCTCAGCACATCATCAACATGATCATATGAGTGGACGATGTCCCTCAAGGGCTGATGTTAAAACGCACTAAAGTATCTATCACAAGGGAGAAACACGCCCGAGATTATATACCATAGGGAACCATTTCATCCAGCGACGAGGATTCCGGGGGCATCGTATAACCTCATAATGATACATTGGTAATATCCGCACTTATTTAAAAACTCGAGTTAAATGTGTGTTAATTGTCCAGGTAGCTCGACCAATATCCTCAAATTGAGGGTCGTAGAGCAGTTGGGTTACAAGACCAAATAGTGCCGGCTATCCGTGTGTTGAACATATTTAACACAGCATGTGAAACCACTAAAGGGGAGATAACCCTACTAGTGAATACCGTCTGGACAATCCAAGAAATAGAGTTCTGTGTGATCGAAAGGGACATTAGATATAACGCTCTATTTGGAAGACCATAGGTTCACAATATGAGGGCAGTCCTTCGACCTTACAATAGGCGTTAAAGCTCCTTACACCAAGAGGAATCAAGACGGTACACGGAGAACAGCCGACTACAAAGGAGATGTTCGTAGTCGATGACGTACTCCCAGTGCCCACCATCTCGACATTAAGGAACACGGAGCCGACCAAAAAGGTTGAAGTTAAATAGCAACCACCGACGCAGGTCGCGGCCGGACCGGAAGAATGAGGAGTCGATGGGGAGGATGATTACGAAGTTTCGAGATAATTCATAGCTCCTGATAATATCGACACCACCAAATCAACGATCAAAGAGTTGGAGCAAGTCTTATTGATCGAACACATATCGGATCAAATGGTATACCTAGGCACAGGGTTATCCCCTGAGCTCAAGAAAAAACTCATTAATTTTCTTAAAGCTAAACGTATCTTGTTTCGCTTGGTCACATCTTGACATGATAGGGATCCCGCTGCAGATAACCACTCATAAGCTAAGTTTGGA